ACATGTGACTGCAGTGCGCTCTTCGTGCAGTAAATCGTCGAAATGGCACTAGGAATGTATCTGACGTCATATCATTCACCACTTCTAAGTGTATCGCTTTTGTAGCCAGGCACACAAATACGGCCATGTAGCCTTTATATGATTTGTGCCCTCGTCCTTTTGTTGGTCTAACCAGTCTAACCTGTATAGGCCCGGCATAATTTACGCCTGAGAGAAGGGTGGTGACGGCGTCACTCGTTCTTTTGTCAGATTTCCCATTTGTTGATGCGCCGTTTGTTATTTGTAGCGGATGCATTTACGCATCTATTGATATTAAATTTCACTGCTTTTTTCGCATTAATGATCCAGAATTTTTCTCGTGTGTGTGCGAGCGTCAATTGGTTTCCTCCATGAAGTGTCGTTTCATGCGAATGACGAATTATCAAATCTGTCAAGTGGTTTTTGCGAGGCAGAATCATTAGAAGTTTCTGGTCACTGGACAGTAGTTCAGAGTTTTCTAGACGTCCTATTACTCTCATGACGCCTTCTTGATCCAATATTGGATTTATGTTTAATAGTTTGCTTTTTGAATTTAATTTCTTCTTTTCTATTAGTACGGAATATTCGTGTGAGAGCTCTATTTTTTGTAAACTTCTGCTCTACTTCTCGTTTTCTGAGAAACTGCGGACAATTAGATAGGGTTTTTAACGTGAAGCTAGAAAATCTCGTCCACTCTTATTCAATTTTTTGGATGTTAACTTGATGACATCTTTTCACTTCTTGATCTATTTTTGCAAATTGAACATTCGTTGGCCAATCCTCTTTTGTTTTTAACCACTTGGGGCCATTCCACCATTAGTGCAAGTCTTGAAGTATGTTAAGATCAACTCCCCTGGAGATTAAGTCAGCTGGATTCGCGTTCGTTCTAACGTGGTGCCAATTTTCTGGTCGACTCTATTTGCAACAAAAGTTTTCCACCACAGTGGGTTGCCTTTTATCCACCCAAGGGTGATCATTGAATCTGTCCATGCATATGTTGTTGCGGGAACATCTAATGCTCTCACTGTTTTATCCATTAAGTTCGCCAATAGCTCGAGCCTTGGCAATGTGATTTTGTTTCTTGCGGGCGCTACTTTCGATTTTGCTTGTAGTACGTTAATGTGGACTTTCCCAGCCACTACTGTTCTGCTGTAAAATGCTGCGCCATATGCCTTTTCTGAGGGGTCGCAGAATCCGATTATTTCTATTTCGGTTTCATCATTACAAATCCATCGTGGAATTCTGATATTTTCGATGTGTTGAACGTCATTTCTGAATTGTTGCCAATCGAAAAAATCCGATTTAAATCAAAAAAATCCGATTTAAATCAAAAAAATCGGATTCTTTTGATTTTTTGGGAAAAAATCAAAAAAATCTGCAACCCTGCTATTTACCAAAGATTTTTTAGTCGCAAATGACGTAAATATAAGTTTTATTGTTGAAAAATGTATAGAATCATGTTGTGTTTATGTGGAAAGCTTAAATGTTTTTATTTTAAATATTTATAGGTCTCCCTCGGGATGTCTTGACACCTTCACAGGGGAGCTTGAGGGCTCACTTACGAAGCTGGGGTCGTATGAACAAATAGTAATATCAGGGGACTTCAATGTTCATTCCAATACTTCTGAGGCTGCCTGTGTTCGACTTGGCGACCTTTTCGGTGGCTTTGGTCTGGTACAAACAATCTATGATCCCACTCGGGGAGCTTCCTGTCTGGATAATTTGTTTGTCAGTTCGGGAGTCGAGGTATGTGATTCTAGGGTGTTTGACTTGGGAATCTCAGATCACAGGGGTCAGATCCTGGAGCTCTTGATGGAAGAGCCCTCAAAAGTTGTGGAGAAAAGAAAGGCCAATAACACAGCGTGGTCTGTTTGCATTCCATGGTATCTTGGATGCCGAGTCTTGGAATTTTGTCACTATGGAGGGTATGGATAGGAACCAAAAATTCAACAAATTCATGTACATTTTGGAGCAGGCCTGCCTGCACTCATTTCCTGAAAGGTTCTCTAGGGTCAGATCAGACCAAGGAAATAACATTTCCTGGCTCAGTGAGGAGCTGAAGGCAATGCGTGAGCGACTAATGTTTTTGAGAGATCTAAGTAGACAATACGGACATGTGAGTACTCAACATTATAAAAGAGAATGTGTTGAAGATGTTCTGAAGAAAGCCACGATGATTACCATTTTTAAAAAAGGTGATACCAACTTGCCTGAAAACTGCAGACCGATATCCCTTCTAAAATATTCAAAAAATGTATAGCTCTGCAACTGGCAAAGTGTTTCGAAGCAAGTGGTCTTTTCTCACCCTGTCAGTTTAGTTTCCGTCAAGGTAGAAATACGGTGATGGGTATTTTGGACCTCATCTCGGGCGTCGTGGAGGCTTTTCAGGATAGGCAATATAGCACGGTCTTGTTTTGTGATCTTAGTAAGGCCTTCGACTACGTCGGTCATGGTATCCTCCTGCAGAAGCTCGAAGCATACAACTTTCAACCTAGCAGTATCAAGCTGATAAAATCCTATTTTAATAATAGGTGCCAACACGTGAGGTGTGATGGTGTGACATCAGCAGAGAGGGTGGTGAACATTGGTGTTCCACAGGGTTCCATTTTGGGCACCATTCTCATTCTTATTTACATCAATGACTTACCAGCAAATGGCGCCAGTGAGCATTTCACCCTCTATGCTGATGATACAACAATTTATTTTGCTGGAGACACCCTGGACTCTCGTGTACGCTGGATCCATGGACGCGTAGGCGAGGGCTGAAACATGGTTTGCGTAGAACAGGCTGTTGCTGAACAGAGAAAAAAACAAAAGAATGGTTTTCGCGATGAGAGATATTGGTGACTGTAAGGATGGACTGACGGAGGCGGTATTTTTGGGACTCAAAGCTACAGTGGGGACCTCTTATCAACCAGGTCGCCAAAAAACTAACAAAGTGAGTTTATGTTGTTAGTAACCTATCAGCTTGTGTCTCTTTGCCTGTTCTGAGAGTGGCATATTTTGCAATATTTCATTCCCATATATCCTATGCGATTCTGGCCTGGGGGCACTCTGCGAGGGTTCATAGATTGTTTGCACTGCAGAGGAGTGGTGAGGGTGATGGCACGTCTTGGATATAGGGATGAGTGTGAGAGGGCATTTGTTTCTTTGGGAATACTTACGGTTCCCTGCCTGTATAGTCTTGAGAATCTGCGTCTTACAAAGAGAAGTAGGAACTATCAGCAGCATGAAAATACTCACCAATATGACACCAGGAATAAAAATAAACTTGAGCCTTTATACTGGCGCCTTAGAAGATGTCAAGAGGGTTATTGGGCAATCAAATTCTTTAATGTTTTACCCCAAAATATCAGAGAACTTCCCTACAATGTCTTTCAAAGGAAGTTTAAGGAGATTCTTTTAAAGAACAGTTTTTATTCATTCTCTGAATTTCTAGAGTTTAGATTTTAAAAGTATATTGTCACTATGTGTGTTTTTAGTTTTTTTTTTTATTATTGAGTAAGACAAATGTCTAGAGTTAAGTTTAATGCCTCCTTAGTTTATATGTATCTATTTTAATTTTTGACGTGTGTAAACATTATTTGTACTGGCATAATTAAATGATTAATTGATTGATTGATTGAATGGAATACGCACTGAGTAATAGCCATTGTTTCTATTGGTAATTATCTAAACTACCTTTCTCTCAGCCAAATTGTGTCTCAACAACTTCTCGAAAATAAGAAAACAGAAGTGTAAACCACATCTATTTGATGATGATTCTACAGGGAGGCAAAAAAGTCGAGCATAATACCTGTAACTTTTCAATTACCCCGTATACGGAAAACTATCCTCAATGAAAGTTGCTCAGTAAATTATTGGGAATCCCGCATTTCTACCTAGACAAATTGTTTCTGTCACTTCCGGTTTCTTTGCTATCCAGACCAACTTTGTATGAGATTGCATATTTGGATTCTAACGAAAATTCTAAGCAGATTTCATGTGATATAAGGATATACCCTATACCTAAGTTCAATCTTTTTTAGAAATATTGACAGTTGGAAATCGACTTTTTTGCAACTTTAACAGGCTGTAAAATCTAAACCGTTAATAGAGAAGAGCCGATCTTACATGCTTGTCTTAGATTGTTATGAACTATCATTTGACACCAACTTTGAATTTAACCGGAGATTAAACTTAATTGGAATTTTCAATCACGGATTAAATTCAAAATTGGTGTCGAATGATAATTTATGAAAATATAAGATAAGAATAAAAGATCGGGTTTCCTCTAAAATTAACTGTTTTACAGCCTGTCAAAGTTGCAAAAAAGTCAATTTTCAACTTTCAATATTTCCAAAACAGTTGAGCTTAGGTAAAGGGGGAGGTTGTTTCAGAGAGGTGAGTTGCCTCAACATAATGCAAATCTCCATAAGGCACCCCAGATATGTCATCAAGTTACCCATTACCAGACAACCTATTAACTTTAGGAACCTTGGGTATAGGGTATATCACATAAAATCTGCTCAATTTTACGTAGAATCCAAATATGCAATCACATACAGGGAGTTTCATTTGAAAGAACAAAGTTTATCTGGTTAGCAAATAAACCAGAAATGACAGAAACAATTCATCTAGGTAGAAATGTGGTGGACTACCCTTTTATAATAAGGTGCTGCTTGGATATTGAAATGGATTTGAGAAACGAAATAGCAGTTGTGGTAGAATGAACTTCAGAAATCAGGAGAGCAAAGAAAGAAACTGACATAACTGCTCATAAATCCGCAACTGTTGAACATATTTGGAAAAAAAAGAGAGTTGAGATTAAAATGACAATAAATCATGTAAAGTTCATTTTATGAAAACTAGTGAAAATCACATTTTTCCATCTGGCTTTTACCCAAAATCGATACATATTTTTGATCAAAAATTATAATTGACGTATATTTTATGCAGTTTTTGGCCCTTCGCCCAAATTCTGCAAGTTGCCAAAGTCTTACCTTGAGTACGCTGTCGTATATTCCTTATCAAAAGCATTGATATCAATTTGAGACCGTCCCAGCGCCTTGCAAGCCAAAAATAAAATATCTCGGTAAATAGAATTGGCAATTTTCCTCGCGGAAGTTTGCTCCCTTTCGTTTGCCAAGCTCTTGATTGGTTCCATCAAATCATTTACACGGATAAAGTTGATAATTTGTTGCATAAATCTACATACAAGCAAATTATTAGTTTTTTTTTTTTTTTAATATCAAACAAATACTAACGATTTTGTAACTCTGGATCTATCCATGGAAATTATCTGATTACTGTCCCTTAACCTCCATAAAATATACATGGGAGGGCCTTCTGAGTGGAATTTGGGTTCGTCCCATAAGCATTTCACTCGTACACGAGCCGCTAGACGTTCTAGAAAAAGAAAAAAGAAATAAAATACACTCCACTATATGATTTTATAAATAAAAAAACAAGCTTCAAAAAAAAAAATCAATAAGAATTCGAAAACATCTTACTTTTTTGCCTCTTCACTTCAGCTGCATGAACAGGAAAAATATTGTATACATTAATTTTCTTATTGAAACTTATCTTTACCTAAAACCGCTAATTCCTGTGTCAAAGGATCAGTCCCCTCCTCAACCAACTTCATACTACTCCCATTTTCTTCCTTCTCCTTGCCTTCCTCCTCCAAATTTACTTGACTATTTTTCTTACTCATCTCCCTAGAATTACTTTGAGCATCAGCCCGATGCTTAAAGTACAAATTAGGCAGATGAGTTTGCACGTTAATCCTTTCAAAGGCCCAAATCAAATTCCAATAAATTATCGGATGTTCATCAATGAATTTCGATTGTGAAATGCTCAGATCACCTTCCCGAGTTAAAATATTTTCCAACTCTTTTCTAAGAACCAGCGGGTTTAGATAAGGGACACTAAACGGATCACAACTACTTTGATCTCTACCACTTATAGTGACAGTGAGCAAGGGCACCGTTGGTTTACCGCAGGCCTGACACAGCGTGTTCAAATTTGATTCTTCTGCTGACCAATTGGACATAATATCTTCGTCATATAAAAGCCTATGATATAAAAGTGCCATAATAATTGCAAACATTGCTGAATTTTGACTTACCCATAGCAATTATGACACTGAGAACATGTGGTGAGAGTTATGTCTAACTCGCTTTCTCCTTTACCTTCTTCAGGTGATGGGTATAGACTCTCCGGTAGAGGTTCGTCATAGTCTTTCAGGTTTGCACAAGAGCCTCGATAACTTCCTAGCTCCGCTGATACCTGAAATAATTTTTGTATATAGAGTAGATCAAAACTACATAATTTGAACCTACATAATATATATCTAATGGTATTTTGGCTGTAAGGCTTATTCATTTTGTAAACTTTTATGTAGAGTCAAATTTGATTGGATTGGAAGTTCTAGTGAGAAGTATTTTTTTTTATCATTAAAGCTAATGAGTTTTTATATGCCACCAATAATTGGTCTACCCAATTCAAAAAAAAAAAATTACCTTTCTTCCTCTCTCTCCATCCTCACTGCCCTGCATACTGTCTCCATCAATTTCATTTAGAGCATCGCCAGAAGCCATTCTATCTCCAGTAGTGATTGCTAACTTCACTGGCGTAGAATTGGCCGACGTAGATATAACTTCTTTGATCTCTTCCATTTTCTTGACCATTGTATTGGCAGCCGACTTGATGGTGCTAAGAGAACCTTGGATTAATTCGTTGGATTTTTTACCAGTGAGGCTTGACGGGCTAAAAAAATGACTCAATACTTAATAATTCTTGTCATATACAATAAAATCTAAGGCATCTTTGAAGTTTTTTGAAAAAAAAAATAGACAAAAATGACTTTTGAGTTTATTTCAGCTAAAAAAATTCTTATTTCACCCTAGCTTAGTGGTAAATTACACATCAAATCACTACATTAAAACACAAAAAATCCTTCTAATATCAAACTTTACCTACCAGGTTTTTAATAGAAATGCCAGTTATAGTCTTAAAAACACAATAATATTGACCAGTTGTGTAAATAAATACAAATTTACCATAAGATTAAATAATCATTTAAACTTACCTTAAATTCGTAATGGCATTCTCGATAAACTGTTGAGCGGGCACCTTAAGATTGGCTTTGCGTAAAGATAGCCTTTGCATGGTGTAACGGCTAAAAGAAAACAACTATTCTAGCAAACTCTAAGGGCATGCAAATGTGCAACTCATAATTACTTAAAAAGCATGAAATGTGATTTTTTAAAAAGAATACTTTACTTAGTTTGTCACATTTAATTTTAAATGCGACGAAGTGCGACATTTGCTGAAATAAAGTAAGTATTTGAGTGATACAACGTTAACAGTAAAAGCCGTATATGAATTTGGTAAGGAAGCTGGTTTTACCTAAAACTGAGCTTGAAGCTTGAGCCCAGACTTGCTAAACTTGAAGCCACTGTGGCAGCTGGAACTGTTTCGGAACGGTGGAGCTTGTTTTGAGATGGAGGGCTTCCTATAAGAATTTGTTTGAAAATGTACACCCTAATATAACATACAAATTTTACCTTCAAAGGTGGCAGATCTTTGGACGGAATTTCTAAAAAGGACTGGTTCATCGGTAAGGACGGGATTTGTTTCGTTATTTGGGACAGAATGGGTTTCTTTGGTTTGGTCTTGAGTTAGTTCTTCAGGGGGTTGTTCAAAGGCGCCCAAAGGATCGTTTTCGGTTATTACTTCACGGGGAGAAACTCTAAAATATACAAACTTTTGTAAACATTTCAACAAATTTGTAAAATAATTACTTTGTGGGAGAAATTTTCTCAGTTTCCTCATTTAAGTCTCCGTTTTTGTTTTGATCAAAGTGCAAATTTCTTGAGCAAGTCTTTTTATTGGTACTTTGAAGCTTATCAATCAGATTAGCATCGCAGGCGCTTTCTGATCTCGATAGAATTCTAAATTCGGACGGACTTTTTTGCGCAAAAATCTCAACTTTATTATCATTTACTTCGTTTGTTGGTCCGTCTGGTTCTTCTGGTTCTGCCAATTCTAGAAATCACCAAATTTCAAAAATTTCTTTCAATTAGTACTTATTATAGGTACCTACCCTTAACACTGCCTTTAACAATACTATTTGCCACCACACGTTTAAACCGATCAAAAAGACTACTTTCTGTATTGGAACCTTCATGAGAATCTAGTGAACTTCTAGAGGCACTCCTATCGGTTGGATCAAGTAAGCTGGATCCTAAACACAAACAAGTTAATTTATTTGAAAATTCTACAACAAAAAACTAAGATTACCTCCTTCAGTAGACGCACCAAGAAAATTCCTTTGAGCCTTTCTTCGAGCAGCGAATTTAAAATGAGCAGCGCCCAATACAACGTTTCTGAGTTTATTCCATAGAACTTGACTGGAACCAGCATGAGCGGGCCATTGAGCCTCCAAAACGCATCGATTGTACAACCTGAAATCATCTTATTAATTTTGGGCTTTTAAGAAATATGAACAATGTCCTACCCATAAGTCAGAGCGTTGGGTTGAATACCATATTTTTTCATTAATACTAAAAGTTTCACAGCCAAAAGGGGTCGATTATGTTCACCGCATAATTGCATCATCAGTCTGTAGCATACTTCGTCACATGGTAGCTTCAAGTATGTAGCTCTAAAATAAACATCATTTTGAATAAATATAGTAATTTGCTGAATCTCAAAACCTGGCAGAGACCCATCTCAGGCCAGGTCATACAGACCAATCAGCTTATTGTCCTTTATGTTTAAGGTGACAAAGAAACTAGTTGAAAAGCACATCAGGGAAACCTCACTGAAACTGAGGCCACTTCACCAAAACCAACATGCCTTTCAATCAGGTAAATCATGCGAATCAGCTCTACACCAACTGGTGAAAAAAGTAGGGAAGTCTCTAGAAAACATAGGAGCCTTTGACCACACCTCCTTCAACTCCATAGTCAGAGCTGCTGGGCAACATGCGATTAATGATAGAGTAGAAATCAAACGAGAAGAAGCCACACGCGTTATCGTTTGTCTCACTTCATATGGGACGGACCCAGAGAAAAGGAAATCTGCTTTCTTTGTCAGCGCTAACGACAGTGGCTTCTTCTCGTTTGATTTTTACTCTACCACATGCAGATGAATCAGATCCATGCTATAACACAGGACTATAAACTCGACTATTGCTGAAACCTCTATTAAAGTAACCGCGACAAAAGGATGCCCACAGGGCGGAGTACTTTCATCGCTCTTGTGGAATCTAGTCGTGGATGAACTTCTGAGGAAACTAAACCATCAAGACTACGCGGACGGTATAGCCGTTGTCATTAGGAGAGGATTTACCAGGACGGTATCAAACCTCATGCAGGACGCCTTAAGAATCATTGAGAAATTGTTCATGGAGGATCAACTTCGCGTTAACCAACCCCTCCAAAACAAAACTTTTTCCTTTCACGAGAAAAAGAAATCTGGAGAACTTAATCGCCAGCAGTCTATTCCAAAAAACCTTTGAATTTGACAGGGAAGCTAAATTTCTAGGCGTCATCCTAGATATGAAGCTGACATGAAACCAACACATCCAAAAGATAACCACCAAAAGCAAGATGACGTCACTAAAAAGAGCGATTGGGAAAACATGGGGACTAAAACCGTCAGTTGTACACTGGATATACACTACGGTTGTAAAACCAATGATAACATATGGTGCACTTGTATGATGGCCTAAAGTAAACCAAAGACAAGCAAACCTGGAGCTAATAAAGTTTGTGAGGCTTTCGCGGCTCAGGTTTATTGATAAGGGGTTTTCATTTAGGCTTATTGGCCGTCGTAAGTTGGAATTTCTTCCTGCGTTTCGCTAGCACACGTGGCTAGCATCTTCAGAAGAGGTGCTTTCATGTCCGATTCTGGTAACAAACTGACGCATGCCCGACCGTAAGTTGTATTTATGTGTGAGTGGCTGTGGTTGGGGAGGGGCGGGCGGCACTTGGCTAATCTCAACTTTCTCTGTACTCAATGGGATCTTTTTTGCGTTTTTGAGGATCCAGATTTGGTTAAGTTTTACTGTTATTTTTTCCTGTTGAAGTTCTCCGCATGTTTGTGGATTTCTATAGCTTCACGTACAAGACGATTGTGGTATCCGGAAATCGGTTCACTAAGCGCATGTTCCGCAACTGCCGATTTTTTCTACTGTCCTAGTCTGCAGTTTCTTTTGTGTTCGTTCACCCTGGTTCCCATCCATGGATCTTTTTGTCGTTCCTCTCTATATTTTACCATATGTGCATGGTATACCATAGACTCCAGCGCTTGAGAGTGGGTTCCTCTTATCCTTGGCTGATCTGATTGATTGCTGTATTTTCCTTGTTGGCTTGAAGATTGTTTTTATGTTGTGTTTCTTCAAGAGTTTCCCTATCCTGTCTGTCATCCGAGAAATGAAAAGCAGATATGCATTAGCCACCACTGGTTGTTCATCCACGTTTTGTCGTGTGGCAGTTTTGGGTCGTATAGCCCTGTCGATTTCAGATGCATTGTAACCATTTGATAGAAAGGCCGACTTGAGATGATCCAGTTCTTGCTCGAGATATTGTGGCTAGCAGATGTTCCGATCACGTTCTGTTAACGTTCTTATGATTCCACGTTTTTGCCTTGGATGGTGGTTTGAGAGTACATGCAGGTACCTGTCGGTGTGTGTAGGTTTTCGGTACACCGTGTGGCTTAGTTTGCCTGCAGATTTATTTATGAACACATATAAGAAGGCGATATCCTGGTTTTTCTCCTTTTCCATAATAAATTCTATGCTAAGACGTTGCTCGTTCAGGTGGCCTAAGAACTGGTTAAGCTTCTCTTCCCCATGACTCCAAACCACAAAAGTATCATCTACGTATCGAAATCATACCGTTGGTTTGTGGTCAAAAGATTGTATAGCTTTCCTCTCGAATTCCTCCATAAAGAAGTTGGCTATGACTGGGCTGAGCGGACTTCCCATAGCTACACCGTCCGTTTGCTCGTAGAAATCGCCGTTCCACAGGAAGTAACTACCAGTGAGACATGTTCGGAAAAGCTCAACTATGTCATTGGGGAAGATACTTGATATCAGAGATTCTGTCAATGTCCGGACAAAGTGAGTGAAGTCCTAGTACTGACAATAATTTCCAGGTTTTACATGATGTCCATAAAAGTAAAAAACTAAAACATTTTGAAAAACATCGAAATAGCGAAACTAGAAATAGATCAACAGGTTAATTGCCTCAATGAACCAATTAACACCCACTACCGGGAAGCGGCCGAAATAATTAATTTATTTAAATAGTCAGTCTCTGTGTTTATGCAATGTGAGATGCAAAAAATGTTCGGTAAATAGTTTAAACCCATAGATGTCTCTATATCAATAGAATCATTTAAGAATTTTAAATAATAAAGACCATTATTGTTTGTAAATACTGTGTCAATGTAATGTATCATTTTATTTTGTGTACATTTTATCTGTGTGCCGTAAATTGTGTCTATATCATGTAAGTTTTACTCCTATTTTATATATTTTAACCATTTTAACTTACTAGTTTTCCCTTGACAATGGTTTAACAACCGAAACGCCTCGGGATTAATAGAAATATACAATGTATGAAGTTGAAAAAAAGGACTTTCATTTTTCATTTTGGTCTGCAATTTATCATAAGGTGGGAAAATATCAATGGGTCGGAATTCTTCTGCCTTAATTGTTCCTTTGATTTTTTCTATTGGGATAATTACACTTTTTTTCCAATTATTTGGGAATATTCCTGTTTGCGGACTGGAATTTACTATTTTCAATATCTTGTCACCGATTGTTTCGAAAGCCTGTTTCAGTATTTTTGTTGTAATTCTGTCTATGTTGCTATTTTTATTCTGCATATTTTTTACAACTTTCTTGTTGTCTGAAATTTCCAATACTGAAAACTTTTCCATTTTATAGTTAGGTACAGTCAATCGTATTAACACTTTCTTCTTCCGCATTACTTGGATGTATCTTATTTATAATTTCATTTATGCTTTCTATAAAGAACTTATTAAAATGTTCGTTTATCATATTTCCTGTTACTGCCGTATTATGAAACATTATTTCTTTCCTTAGACCATCCACCGTTTTTGTATCAATTAGAGTTTTCAGTGTCTTCCACATTTCGGTTGCATTATCTTTTACCTGGTCAATTTTTTCATTAAAATTATTTGTTTTGTGTTTCTAAGTAATGTTACCACTTGGTTTCGTTTTCTTTTATAATTTTCCCAGTCTTGTTCTGTTTTGGATAATATTGCTAATTTGTACAATCTATCTCGGTTTTGAGTTTCTCAATTTATTTCCTCATTCCCCAACTTTTTTTTGCTACTATCGTTTTTTCTGGAGCAAATTTATTTAATAAATGTAAATTATTGTTTGTTGAGGCGTCTGCCAAATGATTAACATTAGAGTTTTCAGGCCACGGCATAAGTTCTAGTTGAAATGTTAGTACATATATTCATAGAATTATAATTTCTGAAAGTTATTGTTTTCTGCTCTTTATTACGTTTTTTATTTAGATCTACTACGATAATAGAATGATGAGTTATTTTGGGAGTTAAAAGTACTTTATAAATGATGTTTTTTTGATTTGAAATTAATAGATCAATTTTTGGTGCAGATGTTCGTGTTATACGGGTATCTGTATTTACAAATTGATACATACCATGGCCACTGATTATATTTTCAAGTTTTTTTGCATAATAACTTTCCTCTGAAAGATCTATATTAAAATCACCTATTACTATAATAATACCATTGTTATCCATGTTTTCCAGTATATAGTCAAAATGATCCAAAAACTCAGTCACTTGCATTTGGTGAATGGTACAAAGAATATATGTGGTATTTTTGATTTTGTATGTTTATGTCAGCTCCAGTTACCCATACATTTCTGTTGTCTTCAATTTTGAGAATTGTTTTAAATTTGAACTCTTGCTTGATGTATATGAATGTTCCTCCTGTATGTGCACTGTGTGACAAGCTGACCACTGCATTATATCCTTTGATATCAATTTCATTATCACTTAAATCGTGTGTTACATGAGTTTCTGCTAGACATACATATTGCAGGCTTTTTCTGATTTAAAAACCATGAGAGTTCTGTTTTTCGTTTTTTTAGTCCTTGGATGTTTAGGTGGAAAATAGTTGTTTCTGATTGTTATATCTTGTTTTTATTGTCATATATTTCTGGATAATCAATTTTTTCTTGTAGTTGTTTCACTATTCTTTTGTATGCCCCGCAGTTTTTGTCATATGCTCTATACCCAAAGTCCATTTTTGGTATCTTTAATATGTCTGCTGCGTACTTACAATTTGCGCAGCGAATTTCATTCGATTCACATTCATTTTCTTTATGAATTCCTGCACATATCTGGCACGTGGGTGTTTCTTTTTTTGCACTCTTTTGCAAGATGGCCATATTTCCAACAATTGTAATATTGTTTGATGTTCAAACTGTCTTTAAAAAAGTACCTAACTTCGCCATCCTTTATGCAATTTATCTTTACTATTAATAAGTTCATAGGTTTTTATATACAATTGTAAGTTTATAGTCTGCAAATCTCTATGATTTTTGATTGTATGTACTATTTTTAACTCAGCTTTATCTATTGGTATGGAATTTTGCAATATAATCTTTTCCAACAAAGGTTCCTGATCCTCTGTTTCTTTTGCACTTATATTAAATACAATAATTATTATTCTAGGGTTTTTTTCTCAGGCAGTTGTACTTCGTAGGAGTGACCCAGAGAGCTTTTGATATTCTCACAGATATTTGTCACCTTGTTTCTTTCCATTGCTGCACTTTTGGATCAATTTTTTTTTCTAGATTCTTTTTCGTTATTTCACTTGCTCGAGAGTGATCATTTGGTTTAACTATAATAACATCTTTATTTTTTTTCACTACACTGCTATAATTTGGAAATTGAGGGACCGTTTTCTTTTTAACTTCCTCTATTTCTTCTTTAAGCATATTAATTATTGTTATTTTATCGTCCATGTTCACTTATGGCCATTCGCACGGCTATCCCTTAACTATCACTTAAGAGATATTAAATGTAGGTGAAGCTTTGAATATGACTTTTGTTTCTACAAGAGTAACATTCAAAGTTTTACTTGGATTAAATATCCCTTAAGTTATAGCGGTGCAAATGGCCGTTAGTGTTTTTGAAATATTTCTTAGGACTGTCCATCAGTACATTTTTGACAATAAAATTTCATAACTCTATTTGAAAGTTGTAGCACTTTTACTTCTGAGGCGGTCAATTTCCCACATTCCTTACACATCGGTTTTCTGCATTCATCACAATTAAAAATCTCTTTAAGTTTGACTTTGGTTTGTTGACACGTATCACATTCCATAATGAGGCAAACGAGCTGGCCACCGTGCCCGCCAGCTGATCACAAAGTCGTTTGCTTTTGCTCATTGGCTTTTGCTGATTTTTTGATATTTTTACAGCACTGATTTCACTACTTTCACTTGTATCTCATCCTCATAATCCACAGAGCTCAATAAACACCTTTTTTCAAAATTAATTTGTCAAAAAACTTTGATTTTAAGGACTATATTTGAGAGTTGTAAACAATAATATTTGCAGAGTTGCCAAGCAAATGGCACAGTAGGTAATACCGAGTCAATATCTAAACAAGAAATTGTCTGGTTTACTAATGGCTCCAAAACAGAAACTGGAACCGGCACTAGAATATGGACAAACTCCTAGATGCGACATCAGTCAACCTCTGGGCGAATACACTACTGTATTCCAAGCAGAAATATATGCCTGTATATGCCATTGACTGATATCTGAGAGAAAACCAAGCACTCAACAGCTTTGAAATAAAATCCAAACCTGTCTGGGAATGCTTGGAAAACCTTAAAAACCTAAGAATGGCCAACAAGATAACCCTTAAATGGGTGCGAGAGCACAAGGGAATTGAAGGAAATGAAAAAGCAGATGCTCTGGCAAGAGAAGGATCAGCAACCAGTTATACTGATCCTGAACCGGCAATTGGCACCACAAAATCTTCGGTAAGAACAAAAATAAACCAATGGATGTATAGATAGACAACATCAAACCTACTGGAAAACTGTTCCGAAGCTCAGACACAGTAAGCTGTGAAGAGATGAAAGTACTGTAGCCTGAGAAAACACCTTCAGACAATGGGCATACTCCAAAAAGAACCCATATGCAGACTTTGTCATAAGGCAAATCAAACCGCCACCCACATAATCTTCGAATGTGAGGCTTCACACTGGTGGAGATACAGACAGATAGGGCTAGAAGACCCTATCTCTGAACTCACCAAAAGTAAAACAGTGAAGAGGCTCTTTAACCTAATCAAAGTCATGAAACTTTTCACTGACTAAACAGACGAACAGGACAATACAATAAGCCGACGGCTGCAGTGGTGGGGCCACCTAACCCGGCCTGTTCACTCTGCATCTCAACCAACCAATAGCAAAAACTTACCTCACTAACAACTCATAAGCCTGTTGCAGTACGGCATTCTCTTTGCCCAAATTCAAACTCAACATGCTGGGCAAAATCATAAAATAAAGAGTATGACAAGTTCCGCATAAACATCGAGCCCAAGTATCAGGAGATCTTTGACATTTCCTAGCCAATTTTTGAGCACTTTTGATTTCATGCTTGGTCCTTCTCGCCATTGGTGATCCAGGCACTCCTGCGTGATACAGTAAAGGCAAATGATTTCTCCTCTTGCTGTTCAGCAGGAGCAAAGGGTTCAGGATGAAGTGAGAGTATGCATAAGAATCGCCTAAAAAAAAACAATAAAAATGTTGACAAAAATCGTATTAATTTGGTTGCTTACTTTCGTTAGCTGGTTGTGGTGGTAAGACAAACACAGTCCTGTCATTTTTGTGAACAGATTCGAGCTCTAAAAGTTTGGGATCATTTTCGTCACTGTTTAGTCTTTCGGCGCAATCATCAAAAAATGTTAATCCTTGGTCGCCTTGGTCCATTACAAAACTTCTTTCTTCAATGAATCTAAAAATTTCATTCATGACATCCAATTTTATTTTGTTTAATTTCTTACTTACCTGATAAACATTTGTGTCCTCATCAACAAAGTGAAAAATTTAACATTATTTTTATCACGGCTTTTCATAAATTCTTGCAACTGAAACAAAGCTTGAGGATCTGTTGTCCCTACTGTAGGAGCTTTGGTGATGGGCTTTAGGAATGACTTGTATCCTTTTAAAATATTAACCATAAATTTTAGAAAGGTTTCTTGGATTTCTAACTCTTCAGCTTGCTAAAATGTAGTTGTCAATAAAAGGATCATCAATAAAATCTAATGCAAACCTCTTTTTTTCTTCTCATGAATTCCCCTTCAATATCATCAGAAGTCACTGAATCAGGAGCATTTGGAGCATTCCTGTACTGATAATACAAATATTCCAAGGCAGACTTTAGACATTTTGCTGCTTTTTTGGGAAGTAGCTTAGTACTTAAATTTTGCCTTTGAATTTCAGCAACCTAAAAATATCAATTAAAAAAAAAAATAACATGCGAAAATAATTGGCAATCTTACAGTTATTATATTTGTATCCAAATCTATACAACTGACATCAGGTGGAGGATCATATAAATCAAAAAATCTCGAGTCAACTCCTATTAGAAAAGGTAAAGGTGCATGTAAAACCTCAACTAGACCTACAAAAAAAAAATAAAAATAAGGAAAATTTTCACTTTAAAAAAATATAAACTTGCCTAAAGGGCATAAGGGAATGTAAGGGCACTGCCACTTGAAAGGAAAAAGTAGTGAGCTTATAGCTTCTGCAACAGAAGTCAATACATCAGGTCTTAGAGAATGAATTAGTATTTTCTGTTCTGTAAGAGCCAATAGAAGAACCTAAAAAAAAATATATATTAATAATTAAAATATAAAAATAGACAATAAATATTTTTGGTACCTGAAGACAATTCTCTGAGCCCAAATTCAAAAGTAACTGTTTAAAACTGGCAGCACTTCTTGGCAAAGGTAAGTCCTCTGGCTGTGTAAATATAACTCTTAAGTCTTGATTATCTGCATTCAATTGAAGCAATGTTCGAGGAGAAGGAAATGGGACTTCGTCCAAAAGTTGGATTATGTATCTTTCCACAGGAACTGCAGTCGGATTGCCTTCTGTCACAATATGCTAGAAATATTATTTAATTATTGAAAAATAGTATTGTGAGCTGTATATATACATACGTAAAGATACAAAAGCCATGTTTGAAAGTCATCTGAAAACGGCCAATGACTTAACACACAAATACTCTTATTTACATGTAGAACAAAGTTGTCATCCCCGTCTGTGTAACCTAAAAGTTCCTTTTGTTCCTCAGTTACATTTTCTACAGGATATTTTTCATAGAACGTCAAAGCAGAACCGTAAACTTTATATTTAGCATCTGATACTGTTAAAACAAACATGCTAAACACCGGTTTTGGTTTACTGGCTTCTTTCGGCCACAGTTCCAATGTAGAACCCATGGGGAGACAGAAAAGAGGCACTGAGTTGGGGAAGGGAAAGTTTTCTACGTCACCCAGAGGGTACCTAGCTAAAATATCAGGTTTATAGGTCAACAATTTTGCCCTATTCATGGATTTCTTGTAGCATAGGAATACATCTGATCCCACTATGCCCTTATTTAGGTTTTTGTTTATGCAACAAAAGGCATGGGGTGGAGATTCTCCTTTGCTAGCTATAACCACACAAATGTCTGTTACTACGAGGGCGTTACATGGCATTGTCGAGACACCTGAAAATTCAAATAATAATTTAAATATGAAATGAATGAATGAATGAATGAATGAATTATGTACCTCGTCTAAATGTAATGAAAGTAAGAGATGTTGAGTTATTGACGTTTGCAAGATTGCCTCCCACACTATTTTTAACCACTTCTGCATCTGCCATAAGCCATTCTTTTCCTTCATACATAATACCTGAGAGAGAAATAAGCAAATATATTAGTAAATATAAAATTAATTAAAAGACTACTACACTTGAATTATTTAACAAGTTTCTAAGAATGTTACATCCAATGAGAGAGAAAACATTTATTTATTCCTATTCCTCCATTTATTTGGATGTTTCTGTGACTCACCAATATCAACCAAGGGTGGTTTATCTCTTCCTCTCCTAACACATAAGAAACATTCCATAGTCCGTAGGCTTCCATGATTTAAATCAGCGCTTAATCCTGATGGAGTTTTTAGCACTGCTTCCCAATCTTCAGGAAGTGTTTCACCCAAACTTGGAAAAATTACGCTTATGTCGGTTATGGGCGCTTGACTGTGACTTGCCTAGGAAAAAAATAGGATATTCTTTAGCATGATGTCCGTTTCTATAAATAAACGATTTTTTGTAAATAAAATCAAGCATGTTTCTTCATTAAATGTTTCATATTATTTTGGGACACAAAAAAAATAAATATTTAAGTTAATAATGATAACAGAGTCAACGCTTATTACTTATTGCAGTTTTATTTTTAAGAAAATGATGATTGAGTTACTTTGTTGTCAATTGTCTTCAATTTGTTGATTGTGCTCGAGATTGTGTTGCAAAAATCACTAGAAATTTTTGATTAGTATCAATCATCCTAATTATGCTGATATTAGGTATTCTTGGAATATGATGCAGTGTTTATTTAAGTTTTAATTTATAGGAATTTTTGGAAATGAGAGGAATCGAAGAAACCTACATTTTTGTAACTTCATAGGAAATTTAATATTTATGTAGGCTTAATCACAGCAAATAACTTTTTTTCGAAAGTTGTTACTAGAGTCAATGCGCTAAGTGATAAAAAAAATCTCAGCCAATTAAACCACCATCTCGACCACCATGATAGTAGGCTGATTGCGATAAACACAATATCCTTGATTTTTGTTTACCAACAAATTTGGTATATTGTCAAAACAGGAAGCTGATCTAACCGTCTACGCTACAGATGAGATAGCTAACCCACATATTCATATTTTTAAATTATAAAATATAACAGTCAATGTTTCTTTGTAATCTTTGCATACAAAATTTGTTCTACTACCAATCAAATATGTGTAAAAAAAATATTTTTTCTACTACCGAGCGTAAAGTACTCAGTTTACGCACTATTCAGAAGACATAAAATGTCTCTTCACGCACTAGTGCGTAAAGTAATTCACTTCACACATTAGTGCGTAAAGTAATGTCAATGACAGATGTCAACACTGTCAAATTACTATTTTTCTGGTAAATTATGTCACGCACTAGTGCGTAAAGTGAGAATACTTTACGCACTAGTGCGTAAAAGATTTGCCTAAATGTATGTTTCTACTACCGTGCGTAAAGTACTCACTTTTCGCACTATTCAGAAGATGTAAAATTTCAGTTCACGCACTAGAGCGTAAAGTAATTTACTTCACACACTAGTGCGTAAAGTAATGTCAATGACAGATGTCGACATTGTCAATTTGGCAATTTTCTGATAAATTACTTCACGCACTAGTGCGTAAAGTGAAAATTCTTTACGCACCAGTGCGTAAAGTATTTGTCTAAATTTATTTTTTTTACACATATTTGATTGGTAGTAGAAAAAATTGTGTATGCAATTCGTGTGTAAAGTGAACCTTTTTTCACGAATGTGAATTTTGACGCACGAGCCGAAGGCGAGTGCGACAATCACATGAGTGCGTCAAAATTCACATTCGTGAAAAAAGGTTCACTTTACACACTGTTGCATAAATAACTATTATTTTTTCATGTATAACGACTGTTGATAATAATTGATACTATACCTACCTGTTTGACTCAGTTATTTGAATAATTGCGAAACGGCCAACTTTTTATTTTTACTCTTTTAAAAAACCAAGCGTCAATTATATGTAAAGATCGGCCCACAGTGAAACCTGTGGGTACCTATTCTTGAAACAAAGGAGCAACGTTCCCAGGAGAACGAGTGATCCATCTTTCTCAATAATATGCAGATGATAATGTAAGTAACAAAGACGGAACACTCGTTCTCCTGGGAACGCTGCTCCCCTGTTTAAAGAAAAAGGACCCTGGGGTACGCCAGAAGGATTATCAAAGACACAGCACCGCCATACCTAACTGCCCGAGTTCTCCCAACAAAAAAGTCAGCAAGCTAACTCAGAATTGGACCTCTCAAAACCAAACAACAATAAACCAAGCTTCCTTATGAGCAGGCGATGGTTAACCCAGTCAAAGGCTTTAGAGCTGGGTCTTTATATTAACAAGCAGTTATCTATAAATTAAAAGAAAGGCAAGCAGATAGAGACAAGAATGGTATTATAAGTAAAGTCTGTGTTTTTTTTAAGATAATTCCCCAAGTCAAAAATTTAGTAACTATGTTGGCAACACAAGTCTTTTCTACATAAAAAATTTGAAAGCATTGACAATTTTACATTGTATTGCCAACATAATGTCATTTTGACTTTTATCTTAAAAAAAAAAAACAGATTTTAAATGCAAGTAAACCGAGGGGTAGGTCACTCCCCAATTACATAGGTGTACAGGGTACAAATGTTGAAATGTAATTTAAAAAAATACATTTAATTACCTCAATTACCTTGCAATTACGTTCAATTACATTTAATTACACTCAATTACAAATAATTACATTCAATTACAAATAATTACACTCAATTACATTCAAGCACAATTCAATTACCTCCAATTACGTTCAAATACCACTCAAATACATTTAATCAATTACATTCAATTACGTTTAATTACGTTCAATTACATCCAATTACATTTAATTACATTCAAATACTTTTAATTACAATCAATTACTGTCAATTAGATATAATTACATGCCCTCTCCATCATCCATTTTTATTTCCAATAAAAGTTAATTACATTTAATTATATTCAATTACACTCAATTTCACCTAATTACATCAATAACATTCAATTATGTTGAAATACATTTAATTTTATACCTTCAATTACTTTCTCAATTACGTTCAATTACAAACAAATACATGTAATTGAATGTATTTGTAATTAGGTGTACAAATTCTATTGAGTGACCTACCCCTCGAAGTAAACTATAAATAAGGGAGGACAATACAAACAAAATTAAGTAGAGTAAAGTATTACAAAAAAAGGGAAGTTAAGCCAAAATCTAAATATGTATTCAGTACAGCCTGCATTATTGAGTGTATAGACTCGAATCATTATGGCTAAATCTCATAGATATTATTATAGCTGTGTGGTGAACACTGTTTTTGGGTAGCTCACATTAATAATATTAACATATTACCTACATAATTAACAAGTTGGTATTGCATAGTATTGACACTCTTGACATAGTATTTTACCTGGTATTGACCTATGGCGAGACCTATGGTATTGACATCTAATAACCAGTGATTTGTACACCGATTGATAAGGTGAAAAACCCTCGGAAAAACCCCTCGTGCAGATCTTTTTAAATGGGAAATAGTTTTATTTCATTTTCAAAAGAGGAAAGAGGTCGTTGGATTTTTTTGTTATTTCTGTTATGAATTTGGGTCATTAATACTTATATTCAATTTAATTCTGTTCAAAAGTAGCTTTATTTGTCTAAATACATAGTATGTACTTGTTGACAAACCATGCTTAAAATTAATTGCACATATACATATAAGTACCTATCTCTAGTTGAAAAAAAAGTTTTGTCCGCCTTGGACCTCAATGCTATTCATTTGTAAAAAAATCGTGCAAAGTATAAAACGCCCTAGAGACCAAAAACGAGACCAAAAGTCCTTGGTCATACACCGAAACCTTCTGTAACCTGTAAGTTTCCTAAGTTCAGTAGGCAAAGCATTAAACATTTCTTTTGCGTTGTAGACAAAGGAGTTTTTTACTAATGTCAAATGTAGAATGGGCAAGTGTAGCACTTGTTGGCGATGAGCTCCATACTGCCCTTTTCTATCCAGCTCCTTATTAAATTTTTCAAAGACAAAAGAACACATATACTTTCAAGAATAAATACATCTCGAAATACACAGCACAAGGTTGAAATTTTATGCTGCAGAAATAGAGCCAATAGAGGTCTACATGAAGATCCCCTTTTGACGAGAAATTCGTGTTTCTTCCGTATAGTTACAGATGTAAGTTTTCATGAAATTTTCAAATTTGAAACTTTTCGTGAAACTTTTCATGAAAAGTTGAAACTTTTCAATTTTTTTTTGAAAAGTTAAGTACAGGAAGGATAGGGCCTCTAAAATTATTTTTTCGAAATGATAGGTATTCAATAAATTGAATTGCTGAATGTGAATGATATAATTTTTATCAATTATTCCTTGCCATTAAATCACAATATTGCGGTTGAGGATTGAGAAAATAAAAAAAAATGCGTAATAGTGAAAAAATCTGTTTTTCTATGACCATCAAAAAATAAACAACTTTTGTCATATTTTACCTTAGCCGAAAACGTCATTTTCTTCACTAGTGATGAAATATCCCATAACGTTAACTTTCCTCACTAGTGACGCAAGTGAATGATTAAAATTTTACATGTTAAATACATTTTTTCAAATCCAATTATATTTCAATCCTGTGGAGCACAATGAAAAAACATAGTTCATAACAAAATTATGTAAATTTTTGTGATATATGTGCATAACGTCTCTAATAGTCCAGGAGGTGGCGCCAAAAACATGCAAGAGTTTTCGCAAGGCGGATATTTTCAAAATAGGTCGTACTTTTGTGCTAGAATGCTAGTGTACAGTCAGCACTCACAGTTCCGGGACAGCTGGCTCTGGGACGCGGGCAAAGTTGTAATTTTAAGAAGCATCTAAACTGTTTTCTCAAAGCTCAAAATTTATAGAAATTTTGCACATTATCTGTTTGAAGGTCACAGATAACTTATGTAAATCGTCAGACGTCTAGTTCGTTGCAAAAAGGGGGTCAAACGTCCTCAAAGTTCATATTTTATGGCATTTTCTTCGGTGTCCTGTCAAAATATATTTTTGCAGGTATTTGACAAATATATTTGAAGAAAATTTATAAATTTATAAATAGCTATTTAACTTATTGTATACAATAAGTTACGAAATGAGCGTCTTTTAGGCACGCGACGTGAAAATTGTCCGAGGCAAAGCCGAGTTGGACAATACGTCGAGTGACTAAAAGACATCGTTTCGTAACGTATTGTATACAAGATTTTTTCTACTGGCATTTTATAATAAAAAAACACAATTTTATTTCATGTGAATAAGTCGATTACGCCCAACATCTTTGTTACCTGCTTTTACTTGACACCTGACACTTTTCATGCGATTTTTTTTTTCAAGATTCGACATCAATAATTAAAATC